AAGAACGTTCTTTCAATGTAGGCATTTCGTTAAGCAGTAACTTGGACCTGAAATATCTTCTGAAAACATGGGCATACATACTTTTAGAATTGTTGGACCCAACGATCGTTTTGCATTTTATGCTGGCACTCTTCTTCATCTTGTTGTTCTTTGACACGTTTTTAAAAAATCGCATTTCTCTTTGATTACCGGACCAATTGCTTTGAAATTTTTAATGGTTAAAGATTGATTTTCTTCAAATATAATTGGAATAATATAAAATACCGTAATATAAATAAGACTAACATAATGTCATCATACAAAATAGAGCAAGTTTATTTGTTAGCTCTGTGGTAGGCTTGCACGTAATTGACAAAAATCAATTCCGTAATTACGGCCAAATCGATTACGTAATGACCCCGTAATTGCGAGATTTTTTTCACACATTTAAACCTATCATAACAACCAATTTAATCCACTTTTATCCCGAATGGGACATCGAAGTTTGGTTTTCATATTCCCGGCAGTACTACACGCCGGCAACAGATGTTAAAGACAAATATCAAGGAGTGAATTCAAAATAATTTTATTCTGATTTTTATCCTTTGTATTAGCTTTGATTTTTTTTATCCACTATATCACCAAATTTTATGCGATCAATTTTATCATTACCAACACTGGTAATATATTTAAGAAACGATAGTTCACTTTTTTAAAATCGTATGAACGTATTAATACGACTTTCTTATTAAATAAAAATTCCGGGTTGCTAATTTATTAATCAACTACAAGCGTATTCTCTCGTTTGATTATACTTTCGCTTGCCTGGCGACGAAGACTTGTTATTTCACCGTTTTTACAATATCCGACTTTACTACTTAGTTAGCATTTTATAATAATTATTGATGCCGACTTATTGACGATATTCCGAATTCCATGCTTCATTTTACATTAAATCATTTCGCGGCCTAAAAGTTATAACATTATTTGCGATAAATTTAGATCAAATATTAATTATTTGCGCATTATTGCAAATACCGTACTTATATGACATGCCTTCTCCGAAAATACAAAGTTATATCGCAAAACAATGCATTTTGTGACATTTATTTTGCACTCATGAAAATATTAATTTATTTTTCTAACTCAAGTCGACAATCCTATTTGCCAAGATTGACACAAGTTTGGTCGAGTGCCGGTGGTATTCGAGTCGACGATAAATCAAAATAAGTTTGCCGCATTTGGTAAAGACAGGTAATCATATTTGGCCGACATATTGCGAGGCATTGTGAAAAACATATTGAGCAATGCCAAGGACAGATATATAACGATAAAATCGGTAACAGAACATCAAGATTTTATAATAGAAAATGGATCTCGCGCAGAATAAACACGGGAAATCCCGTCGTATTGTTGTTTCTCTGCCGTCTCAATCGCTTTACCGATGCCGAAAAGACTAAGTTGCGTTGTTCATTACGCAATTTCTCTTCCGTCTTTATATTGCTGTTTGATAAGCGCGACATTAATTATCACGGCATTTACAAATAGACCATGTTTTATAAGTTGATCTCTTACATTCTTTAGTCATTTCACCCGAAGAAGTTGAAACCAGGTGTGTTGACGTCCATCGGTCTCAACACAATTCTATTCCTTATCTACGGTTAATATGTACATTGGCCATCCTAGATAAGTTGACGATAGGTTAGTAAATGACGCGTTATGCCTTCCCCATCTGCCTAACAAGAGAGAGAGAAACGGCTGCGAATACCGGAACTCTAACTTCTTTTACTTAAACTTTAATTTTTTACAATCGACGGAATTGACTGCTCTGAAGAGAGCTCGTTTCAATCGCGAAAGCGCTCGACCAATAATTACGACTTTACGTAATTCGTAACTTCGCTTCCGTAACTCGAAATAATTCCGTAATTCCGTAAATCCGTAAATTACGTGCAAGCCTACTCTGTGGGGAAGGTTGGGACACATTTTATATTTTGCATTTTTTGAATCTGCACATCCATTTGACATTAAGGGACTAATTCACTAATGAATAGAGGGGCAACTGTAGTTTTTATTCAGCGACTAAGGTATTCCATAGCAACACACACATATATATATATATATTACCATTACCATACCAAAGGCTTTGAAAAACATTCGTCAAATGTCCCACTGCACATGGGACAGTCTGTTAAATTCAACGAAGTATGCCCTTGAAAATAAGCAAAGAATTAGCATCAACATCTAAAGAAATGTGAGACATCAAATTTGAGAATTTAAAACTTTTGGAAACTGAAGCACTTTGAAAAATATTTTCCATACTGAACCATGAGCCAAAAGATACTTTATTATTACACAAAACACGCATATATAGGCTTCTAAGCATTTAATGAATCAAACACTGTCGAATTGTACCCAATGGAACATGTCCCAATCAAAGTGACCCGTCCCGTGTGAGTCATGCAACTTTGAAACCTCATATCTCACGAACCTTACATTATATGCAGATAAGTTTTATATTGTTTGAAAGACAATCTAGGAGAATAATTATAATTATGAGATGGAGATAAAATGTCGCGATTATCATACAAAAATAGGCAAAATTGAAAAGCGTGAAATTTTTTTGAAAAGCTTTCGAATTAAATAACAAAAACTTCGATTTGCTTGTTTTAACCTAATACGACATCGACACATTCGCATAGGTTAAGAATAGCTTTCGACATTAGATATAATTTGTCGTGCACCAGTAAAGATGTATAAGTTATTTCATTCAATGCTCTCCAATTCTTGACATGTCCACTGCGCCAACTTGAGTTAAACAACAACGTTCCCTAATTACTTCGTTACGCAATTACGTCGCAACGTAGCAACGTTCCGTATGAACACACATATCGCTTTCCTTCGCAAGTGTGAAATGTCATTAACCTAATTGCATACGTTTAAATCAGGTACTATTTGGTACTAATTAAATCAGGTACTGGTATTATGATACCTGTTCACACCATGCCGAAAGTTTAAAGCCTGCGTTTTACATCAATCATTCCAGAAGCTGATGAAATAAATTTTCTCGGAATAATGTTTCTTAATTTAACGAGCTGTTGCAACAGTTGCTTATAGAATGTAAACGATCTCATGGCTAGCACATTGTGCAGCCTAATGAATTTCATCGAAGCATGTACATTATAAGGTACAAAATTTAAAAACCAGCCGCCGCGACTGGTGTTGCAGCTCTTATCAACTTATTATTGGCAGGATATTTCGATTCTTTTGCGTCGGAAAATGTAGAATATTTACTAGGTGATCTAGCGACGCCATCATGTCTTCTACGTTCTAGTTGATATAACTTAATTGTAATTTTATCGATATCCAACAGTGAAAAATTAACCTTGATGTTTCCGAGGGAACCCTATAAAGACACGGGGTTTAATTTGTTTGTTTCTATGGAAAGTGTCAATCCCGATGAATGCCCACAATCGTTACTAACTCTTTTTAGGCCTTACACATCTGATAAATATTTGAAAATTGATAGTTTTACCCAATATTTATGCCACCCATTTAAAAAAGCAATCGTATTTTAAACTATATTTCGCGCAAATATTAATGCCTTTCATAATATATGTTCGCCTGTTACTTTTCTGACAGATAAAGTTGCTTGAAATAAAATTTCCCATCTTGCCACAATATCGCTTTTAAAATTTTGAAACGTTTTTTCAATTTAAGGTTAAATATTCACGCAAAAGAGGAGACAAATAAAATTATTGAAAAACGGTATGCTAGTAGACCTGCGGCAAGAGCTCAAGTCAAATAAATAATATGTTATTTTATACACTCCAGATTATTAGATGTTCTTGTAAACTTGATATACGCCGTTATCCTTCATTCCATGCATGTAGTATATTTTTTTAATATTATTTTGGCAATGTACACCTTGTTGAAAATTTGCGATACGCACATGTACCGCAAAAATAGTGCAAGTTTCTGTAGTATAATTTGTATTGTAGTTCTGTCAGTTTGTTAAAATAGGTTCTGTGCAAGTAGCGATACTTACATCAGGAATTTTATAATAATCTAATAATAAAATGTGTATCTTTTTGTTAAATATTTTGGTCTTATTGGGTTGTTGATTTATCGAATGAAGTTGGATGACTTTAATCTTAATTTCGTATATGCTGACCATACCGCCGAGCCGAGTTATCCGAGAAACATCTGCGGATAATTAAATTTTCAGAAGAATGTTCATTCGTTTTGCCGCTGCGAAACTTTGGTCCGAATTATTGAGCATCGTTTTTTTTATTCAGCTGTTTAACGATCGCAGGTTTAAATCACTTAGTTAGGATCATACAGCGATAGAACTCTGGACACAAAATGGCTGGTGTGACGTCACACGATCACTTTGGTCCCAATCAACGACTAACATACCGTCCCAATGAACCCAGGTCCATTGTTCCCCATAGGAAACAAATATTTTCAGACTGCCTCACGTCAAGATTATGAAAATTTCACAGTGGACTGAAGCTAAAAAATACCAGACAGTGGTCTGTCCTGTTCGAAAGCCTGAAGTAGAAAAAAAAACTGAGATAGCGATATTTTAGTTTGAACATCCCAAAACCCTATAAATCCATCTGATTGCTTGCGTCACTCTGCACGGCCGTTGTCCGTTCGCAGGGACGTTGTAACTTACCGAAAGGCGGATTCAAACATCGAACCGCGTATCTGATATAGTATGAGAAAACACAAGCTGTATGAAACTGGTTCAAGTCAAGTTTTAGATATGTTATTAAATTTACTAAAGATCACCTGTTCAAGGGTTGGCCACCGCTGCTATATATATGGCAATGCTTTTGAAACACGCTCCTAATCAAACCACTTTTCAGGCTCTAGGTAAGATATCAGCAAGCCGGGTTAATTCACTTGGATAACTTGCCTTGCGCTTGCCTTCTTTAATCCAAGGAATAAAATTTCAGATTTTCAACTATGGTCTGCTGCTTCCAAATTTCCCCGTCCCGGCGTCCGCATAAAAGTACTTTGTGCTCCCTCGTTTATTTATTTAATAGAATTTCAAACAGGTTACTATTGATGTAAGCAGGAAAAAAAGAGTCCATCACTATCAAGTGAATACTAAGATTATGAAAGGTTTGTAATGTGGGTTTCTTATAGAATTGTTAACCATTGAGAAGTCAACATGCTACAATAACGACCAGCATTAAATATTGGTAAAAAGAACAATACAGAAGAGTGAACGAAATTAAAATATTCCATTTACTCTAATGTTACCTGAATCGCCCATGGCCGAGAATTTTCAATCATACAAGGTATATAGAAATGCTCGACTAATTGGGCATGGATTCAGGAGTAATGTGAAATAGATATACAGTAATTATATACAGGACAGTTAGTCATTAAAATGTTCACATCAAAAAACCATCAACGTTGAGAAATTCTGCAAGAAAGCTCGAATTACATTGATCCCTAGGCTATTCAGCCTTTGAGCAAGTCGATTGACTTTAAAATTATAGTATTCTCTATAGAGAATAAAAAAATGACTCATGCCATTCGATCAAATAAAACAAAAATGATTGCAGTATAAGAAGTTTGTGGCAACGTTTTACAATCAAGCATTTTACAATCCACATCCAACCAGATGACGAAAAAAACATAATATTCAAAAAAAAAATAGGATAAAATATTTTCTTGGTTTGTTTTCCACCAAGAACAATAGTAGACAAAATATAAATTACTCGCCAACATATACTAACAATAAATTTTATGCCTACGCTATAGAATATCCATAGTTTATCGACATCAAGTCCTATTATACTTATGCAACATAATGATACACTTTTCTGTCTGTCTGTGATCTTGCAAGATATTCCCGTTCAATCAATCCTTCAATTCTTTTCTTTGTGATCACAGGGCTTGGAAGAAATCTGTGTTTCAGCTGGTTTGTAACCTGTTGAGGTATTTATGATAAACTTATTAAACTTAAAAAGGATGGATCAGGAAAAGCAATCATTTAGTCCTCTATACAGCTGAATTATACAAAAACTTACACTTGTACATGAGAGGGTCGGATCTCTAATTTGTTGGTTTTACTTTTTGTTGTTACTTTTTTGTCAAGACTAATCATAGAAATATGACAGCAGACGAATTTTGAAAAGATATCATCGAGATGTGATGAATCCAAAATGCTTCGAATAATAAAGCGTTCCGTTCCAAGTTCTCAGCCTTAGCCTCCACCCAAAGATAAAATCCTTTTGCACTTAACTTGACTAACAGAATACAAACATTCGTAACATATTATGTTATATTACTTACTTCTGCAACAAGTAAATTATGTTGCATTTCCTTTCTTGATTTCATAATTCGAACAATCGCTGCTTCGATTTCATGTCTTCTGTCTTCATCTACCTTTGTTCTAGTTTCTCGACGCTCTGGTTCAGATTCACCTTGTCTTGCAGCAACTGATTTATTAAACAGTAATATCATATTATAAAATAATTTAACGACATTCAGTCAAAAATCAAAAATCTCGAAGTATGAAAAATGTTTGCCGAAATGAGACAATTTTTCAAAATCAAAATATAAGTATAAGGCAGAGATGACAAACTACCTACACATCAAGTCATGAATTATTAAGAAAAAAGGTGTATGAACATTTCGGCGATAAAATCATTTGTGAAAAACTGGCAATAAAGCTGGCAACAATTCATTCTAACATGAGTAAATTGTATAGGGACTTTGACATGAAAAAGAAATGGTTTTTCTTGAGGATTACTGTGCTCAAAATTTTGTGAAAACATTACAATCCCAACTTGCAACTTTGTAACTATAACCCTGATCAGTATGGCTATAACTTTGTAAATCAATGACTCATTTCATCTTATTCATGATAAAAATGTAATTTGTGATTCAATGGATAACTAGTATAGGCCTATTTAGATGGTATTAGCCGAAACAATATGAATCATACTCATACCCATTTGTATTTTAACTCTATGGAGTTTCGAGGTGAATCCATCATTGACTGTAAACATGTGAGTTTTCTCAATTTCTTTTCCTTTAGGTTCCTTCATCAGAACTCTTTGATTTGGTTTTCCACACGCAAGCGATTGCAGAGCTCTCGTAAGTTCTTTAGCTGGAATGTCAGTCTCTTGCTGTAATTCCTGGAATTAAGAAAGGTTTAGTTTACACAGAAAATATTTACGATTATGGGGGCTTAAGAGACCATTTAACACAAACTCAGAATGACAAATAAAAAGAGAAATTCAATGAGTAATGAAGGGCTTTATAACCAGCAAATTATTCGAATTAAAGTCAGTTACTATTATCATATTTTAAAATTGTATCAGTCCTAGCCAATGTGGAATTTCTCTTCCGTCGTACGAACGCCGCATGGCAGTGCGATGCAACTTTCATGGCCACATAATTGGGACCTACAAAAATGGCCCTTTTGCGAAAGCTGTCAACAATTGGGCCCACTTACCCACGATCCCACTAGCGTCGAAGCGTATATACTATACGTCAGGGCTACTCAACTATTTTCACTAAAAAAAGCATGGATACAAACATACAATAAACAAATTTGGAGTTTGTGTGGACAGTAGTTCCAGCGTTTTTACTTTTTTCACTTGGAAAAAAAGACTCCCCCCCTAACTAAAGATAAAAGTAACAAACATAAATTAAATTTTACTGCAAATTTAAATAACAAGTTTGCATATTATACCAATGAAATTAGCAATATGCTTTCAACAACTTTCGTTAGTTAGCCATCTACCGTCGAAGAGGAGCAAAACATTAGTGTTTTCATCCAGCATTTACCTCAAAATTCCATTTATCTCTGTTATTAAATAGAAGCAATATAACCATCTGTGATGTCGTAACTTGCAGTATATGTCGGCGACTTTGTGGAGTAACTTTTGATGTTGATGGCTCTCCGTTATTTCCATCGTTCATAGATGAGCTACTTGCTGATGCTTTTACTTTAGCAAGACCAAAGAATGTTGCATTAAGATCTGCGTTTCCCATTTGATGCTGTAAAGTTAACTGACGTCCACTATGCTTGCCGAGATAAAACCTGTGGGAGAGAAACATAAATATTCAACACATTCTCAAACAGACTTGAAAATCACTGAATTTCAGAAATCCCATTTAGCTTTTCCAAAAATATATATTATATTGCAAATGATTCAGTGAATTACAAAAGGTAATAAACAAATAATTTCGAATTACTCAATGTATTATTTCATGAACAAACTTTAACTAAGATGAGATAGTGTTACCGACTAAGAAATTAGTGAGATGACAATTCCTTGGGCTTCAGGGTAGGCTTCGTGGGCATGATGTCAAATCACTAGTAAAAACCACTACTAAATTTACTAATTATTAAAATTAAAGATATTACCTTCTGAAAACATCAAAAGCATGTCTAGGAGCAGGTGGTATATTACAATTTGGACTTGCTGGTTGGGTCGGCCAATATCCCGTCGTTAATACTCTGACACTGAGATCCACTCCTTTCAAGGAAGTCTGAATTAAGAAAAATGATGATCAGAAATGCTGAAATCAAATCTATGTATCATGTTATAAGAGATCTAATGTAGAACATGTCCTACACAGACTGTTGACAGAATTTAAAGAATATTGTACTATAACACTGATTGGGTGGGTCCAAAAACATTTCCATAGCCTCACTGCCAAGTGCCAAGTGAGGTTTATTGTCGCAAAATATTCTCATTCCAAGGATACGCTTGCCTACTTTTCATTAGTCTTTAAAAAGATGTCTCGAGTTTTGCAATCTATACTATAACTAAAATGAACATGCAATAGTGAAAGTATCTAATTTTCTATTTGCAGCAGATTTTTATTTTCTGTTCAAATAAGAACTGAGTAGTTTTAAATATTTGAATCAAATTTTGTCTTCATTACATAAGTTCCGATTTATCAAATAGTAGTATTGATTACCCCTGAATCCTGTATATGTTTCTTGAACTCATCATTAGTGGATGATGACACATGCATGTCTTTGAACATTCCTTCTAACTTTGATGTAAACTGACATCCGCATTCATTCTGCAAATAATATGGAAATGAATTATAAAATTAGTCAGTGAAAAAAATCTTGGGTTTCAATAGTAGCTATAGAATGGGGCTCTAGGATAGTAAAACATGGCAAAACAGTGGAACATATTATTCTAAATGTTTTGAAAAAAGTTTGGTTCTAGAATAATGATCACATCATAAGCAAGAACATGCTAACAGAAATCAAATAAAGACATAGCCAATAAATCAACATATTCAAGATTACCAAACCGAGATAGGATTCCATAAAAAATCTGACTAAGCTTCAAATGAATGGAAATTAGTGTTACAATTGGGAAAAATACTCCTGAATATCTCACGCTGAGAGCAATACTGAAATACTTAATTACTTGTATGGTAAGACTTGAGAGCACCAAGTTTGCTAAGTGATTAACAGTCAAACAATAGGGATAAAAATTCAACTCTCAAATAAAAAAAACAGCAAAATTTTTGGATGAAATATCCTGCTCCATAGGAAAAAAATAAAAGTAATAGCTTTCTAACAACTTCTTACATCTCTTAATTAATACTAACATTTGAAATCGATCGATTCACGAGTTACAAAGAAAAGTGATTTTCAACAATATTAATAACAAAAATATAAATGTCAACAAGAAAAATTTAACAAAACGGCACATATCTGCACTTTGTGTTCAATAAGTAGACTTCATACCCAATCTAAAAGCAACTGAAAGTCGAACAAGAATTCTATATAATGAAAATTAAAATTTGCACAATACACAACTGAAACTTCGTGAACAAATTAAAAAGTGCATTTTGAAGAAATACATCTGTTCAGCAAGAGAACACTAAATTATATCAGACCTACCTTCAACTTAGTTATCATATTTTTCTCAGAATCGTCAGAAATACTTTTATTTCCAAGTAATCTCCTGGCCAAATGTTGTTTGTAATATCTCTCAAAAACATCTTTTTCTTGTAAAAATCTGAACAAAACCATTGTTTTGTCTAATACAACTTCCACTTCAGACTCTGATAACTGAAAATAAAAACAAATAAATAAAATTCTGCAATTTGCAATCTTACTCAAAGTGTGAAATAACTGTTGATATTCTTAGTCACACTTACTCCTTTCAATCCTTTTTTTAGTTTGTCATCAATAAACAAAGATAAATATTCTGGTGATTTCGGGTTTATATTTATAAACCATTCAAAATCTGAGCAAATCATTTTCTTGAACAACTGAGCGGACTTGAACGATTCCTTATGAAAAGCATCAAAACGATCCTTAAGATCCAGTAAGTTCTAGAAAAAAAAGAGAGAGATTGGTTATTGAAAGCACCAGGAGTCCAGGACCGAATTATAATTACAGACAGACAAGTTGAGACAACATCTAATTATTGCTTATATTGTTGTTGAAAGGCTCAGCTCCCAGTTTTGGTTTACAAAACCCAATGTTGCCACTATCAGCTTCACACTGTGAGTGAACTAACAACGAATTACAACAATGAACAGTGGCGGTTGGGTTGGATAATCAAGGACTAGTTCAATCATTTATGTAATATTTGTGTTAGTTCAAATAGCATAAAAAAAACTACTGTAAATCCTGAAAAAAATCCATACCTGGATAAAATCAACAGCAGATTTTCCTTCCTCATCACTAATGAGTGCCTTTCCTTGCTCTCTCAAATATTTACTCACACAATCTCTCAATGTTTCCAAACCTTGAGAAACTCGAGCAAATAACTGGAACATACACTCTAAATCTAGAATGAGAAACACAGGCGTCAGAGATGTGTAGTAAAATAAAGGAAGACTACAAATTTGGTTGAAATATTAGAAAAACCTCATTTGAAAGAGTATGCGACAGAAACAATCACTAGGCGGTCAACTATTCCCATCCTCGTTTAGGCCTGCTAGCCTTATTGTCACGATCAAGATTCTGCCACATAATTAAGCCATCTATTTGTAGTTCTCAAGGTAAATGGAAAAATGCTTATATTATATCTTCCTATTAAGACTTATTGCAAAAAACTAAATCATTCAAATAAACAACTATTGATGAAAAAGTTCCTACCATCTTTCTTATCATGCATCAACATCTGCACTGCTCCTGAGTTTTCCATGTCAACAATTGTTTTCATGTGTTTCTCTATCAGTTCTTTCTCCAGTACTGAATATAAAAAATTGATCTAAAATACTGAATATATATAGAAGAAACTGAATAAATTATATTGTAAAGGTCTTACTCATACAAGAATCGGGCAAAGAAATCATAAGTGAAAACCAATGTTCAGATTACATTCGCCACTGCGAAAACTACCAACTTATCATGCACATGGTTGAAAAAAATAATATTAGGCTGATATATAACAACCATTTTTTATACTTAAATAGGTACTAACAAGTTTCGATGTACTTGCCTTAGAAAACTGATTGCATACAAACAAAAGACTGTAATGAACTCTTTGACAAATTCATGCCAATAATGTAAACAATATTTTACCAGCTACAATCTCTTGTTCAGTTGATGGGTCGAAATAATGTCGAGCTCTTTCCCCTTCTTCATTTATACGAGCTTCAACTTTCTTTATATAAACGGATGCACTATTTTCTGCCAAAAATTTTTGACTTTCCATCTGTACGATTAAAAAACAGAAATTAGAATTTGTACGCAAAACAAAGATACTTAACAGTGATATAATCAGAAAGTAAAATTTGATAGAAAACATAAATTTGCAGCAAATTGAAAAGCACAACCTGATAAAATTCAGCAGATTGCTTTAGAAAATCCCTTTCAAATTCTTCTTCATAAACTTCTTTACCAAGAGTCATCAACATCATGCATGCATTTCTAACAGCTCCTCTATAATACAAAAAAAGCAATTTATATAAAAGTCCATCATAGTTGATTACAGTCAGGGTTTTGTTTATTTATCAAAATACTTTGAATCAGTATCAATTCCACCACCATATATATATAACTTTTTACTATGTATGGTAATATGTGGTATTAGCCTAAGTGATGTCAAGCTGTTTGACACATGACACATGTTCTATAATCTATATTCCATATTTTCATTCTCTTATTAAATGTAAATTATTTCATTATTTTTGATATTATAAATTTTATCAAGAATCAATATCTTTTGAGATTTCCAATAAAAATATGAAGTATGTAAGATGAATGAAGATGTTCTTTTCTTGTCATGGTTGTAAACTGCTTGTCTGAGGAAGTCCGATCTTGGTCAGACAAAACGTTACAGGAATGTATTTATGTTAGTGTCCAGTAGGACACTTGAATTGCATATTATGATATTTTTATTCCTGCTACAGCATCCTTGCATATACGCATACGGATCCACTAGCACAAAGGCATTGAGAAAGGATTGGGAGTTAGTCTCGTGCAACCTCAACTGATGAAACTATGTAGGAACTTTTGTGCCGATCATACTTTTTTGACTACAATATTTGCTGACGATAAGGGAGAAAATAAATAGAGAAAAGATTTACGTCATACCTGTCAACAACTTCACCTCTTCTTTCCCTGGCAACTTTATCCAATAAAACCTCTTTTAAATGTTCTCGTATTGCTGGTTCACGCACAACTTTATCCCGAAATATTTTTAATCCCAGATTGTAAACACTGTCTACATTATTTTGTGAAACATAAACTCGATCCTGAAAACAGAATAATTGTTGATGTGGAGGCCTAGTGACATGCCCATTTTAACTCAACAACAGTAGCTGTTTGCATGAAGCCTTGCTCAGAATGAACAAGTAAGAAGCAAACATAAAAACATCTCTGATTCGAAATATAGCATTATGAAAACAAAATAAAACCAATGAAATAAAAGATACTCAAGATATTTTTCACATAATAGGGTGGTATTTAACCCCCCCAAAAAAACAAAATTTCCATTTCTGAATTACTCCAATTTAGATTTTACTTAATAATAAAGTTATTTTTTGTGACCAAATTAATTTTTGCTCAATCAGTCACACCCAACAAAAAGTCCAATTTTATCCTAGCTAGAGATAAGTAGATTCATGTATTGAGGTTTTAATCAGCACAAAAAGAGAAGAACAAAGCATTGCTAACATTTTGATAAATATTTCCAAAGAAATCTAAAAAAAAAGTGATTTTATTTTGTTTATTTACAGTGATGCACACTTTTAAGTGATGTTAAGATTATGTTATTGAGTGAAAAAGTTTTTACCATTTATAACATACCATGTACATTAAGATATCTCTGATCATAACCATAGATGTCTGATGATCATTCCAAGCAGAATTTAACGTCGGTAAAAAATAGTTGTTCAAAGATTCCACAACATCAACACGGACCTATCATAAAAACAAAAAATCAGTAAGAAAACTTATACAGTATTCTTACCATGCCACCAGGGTTTTGTTCTACAGTATTTGTTAAAATGTGAGAGGCAACCTATGTTAATATGCAATATGCATATTTGCGAAATGTTTCTAAAATTGTAAATGAATATTAATAAGCAAGGTTGTTATTTCTCGTGCCCGCGCACGAAGTCTCGCTGCATAGGAAAATTGCCGCAAAAGCACTTTGCTGTAAAATAAGTATTTGTGATAGCTAGGGCTGTCCAAGCGAACCAAATATTCGAAATCGAATCAAATTGCAAATTATTCGAATCGTTTTTCGGCTAATTACTTATCAATTTTAATCGGTAAGTATGTTGATAGGTATTTGTCTGTATGTCTGTCTGTTTGTCTGTTAGATGCGCGCGATATCTCACGAAAGCGAGATTGAATCTGCTCCAGATTTTGCATGTGCATTCATCTTATCTCGGACCAGAAGCCTATTGATTTTGGGCGAATTATGTCACATAATTAGCGAGTTATCAATCAATTATTGATATAGTGATCTAGATTTTTGTAAAGCAAGAGAATTTTGAGAACCGGCCCAGTGTGTGTGTGTGCGATGCGCAGTGCGCATGTTACAAGAGCGGATGAATCGAAACTGCAGTTTCTGTTTTGGGGGATCCCCTAACTATCGATCGATAAGTCTTCGGTTTCCAACCGATATTCTCGTTTTCGAATCGCTAAGATTAGGTACATAAAGCGGAAACCACCTTTGCAGGACTTCTTTTCATCGGGCAAGCGGCGGCACATTGATGAGTTTAGACCACTCTCGCTCCTGGCTTAATTGGTTTCCGGATATTTCTCTCTATTTCTTTTGCCTTCATTTTGTGAAAAACATGTCATTCCTAATGCCCGCCCGGTGGCACGTGATTAGCCATTTCATGCATGGTCACCATAACTTAAAAGTTATCGGTAATGACGTTTTTTTGGGAGAGAACAAGGGGAAAAAGGCAATTTAGAAAACGATAGTTCTATGAATAGAATCGATATGAAGCTGTTAAGTTAGTTATCATAGGAACTTCGTACAGGCAACTCAAAGCTGAAACAGGTGTTTTGGGACCCTTATGATGGCAATACCTTATTTCAATGGAATTTGTAATTTCTTATGATGGCAATACTGTATTATTCATCAATATACCAAGACAAATAATTGCACTCTTGATTTTTGATGGCTGTTTTACACTAACAATATTAAAGTCATCAAACTAGCTTCGAATTTGTTAAATGCAATTTTGAATTTGATCAACAGTTTTATCTATATTAATGCTTGTTATTATTTTGCTGAAAATTACACAAAAAAACATAACCCTAGTGAATAGGATTAAAATAGCATCTACAGGCTTTACATGTCCTAATAAAACTGAATCCATTAGAATTGAGATTGCAATTTTTACCCTTAACACTCAACAGTTTTCGAGACCCAAATTTTTGAGTCCTCAAATTTTTTTGACCAGTTCATACAAGCGTGTGATCTCCTTTCATAAATATGAAAACATTGTATTGCAAAACACCAGCAGTAAGTAAGATGTAACTGCACGTACGTCACCACAACATCGAAGGGCAGGCGTTTATTGTATAATGAAGACAGATTTAGGATTGCGCAATAATATTCGATTATTCGGTTCGATTCGGCGAAAATATTCGATTCGAATCAAAAACTTATTCGATTTTGGACAGCCCTGGTGATAGCATGAAAAAACGCTGCAAGAGCATTTTGCCGTAAAACAAGTAATTGTGATAAAAACAGTTAGATTTATAGGGTTAGGTTATGCTCTTAAATAAAGAATCTTTTTAAAATAAGAATACTTCAAAAACCTAACCGTTTTATCACAAATACTTGTTTTATAGCAAAATGCTCTCGCGGCGATTTATCATGCGGCAATTTTTCCCATGCGGCGAAATTTCCTGCAGTGAGATTTCCTACGGCGAAATTTCCTGTGGCGAATATTCCAAGAACAGTTATTTCTTAATTGAAAAAAATGGGAAAAATCTGATACAGATTATTAGTTGCAAAAAACTGAAAACATACAATACCTTTTGTGTTAAATGTTCCGTAACAACTTCTCTTAGCCCATTGTATAATTTTTCACCATATTTGTGCAGAACCATAGTATAGGCATTTCTGTATAACTCCTCAAAACTGAGCCCGCTGTTATTTTTCTTTTGAATTTCTTGAATCGCATTTTTGAGCAGTTCCCAAATATTGGCAACATACTTTTCATCCATAGTCATCTGATAAAAAAGTTTCTACGCTCAGCAATACAATCATATTCAAAAAATTCTGTATAGTCTTAACACAGATTAAAATTTGCCTATACAGTGATACCAAAAATTAGTAAAGATTTCCAGTAGACCTGTTCAATTAAATATCATATAGGCTATTATATAAAATTCCAATATCATACTCACTCGGAAGTTAAAATGGATAGAAAAAATAGTTTCCATCCTTAGCCTATACTGTTAATCAAATTATACATTTTTCTCAAAGTAACAAACTGTTACAAAGGTCAGTTAAGCTTCCATTTCTCTAAGTTTTTCAAGTGGATCCACATTTACAGCACTGAAAACAGTGTCAAAACCTGTCCAACGCATCCAATTATGGATAAAATCTTCCCTAATGTGCATCCCAATCCCAATGTTATTGTAAAAATTTGGTTGCTGGGTAGTCTTGTGATGTCATAATAGTAATTCCAAGATGAAGTCACATGGCTTAAAAATATGATCCCAAAATCCAAATACTGCTATTTTATATACAAAGTTAAAAAAATGTAACAGAGTCATTTTGTCTCACCTTGGCTTAGAATAAATGATTTAGACAAAATTTGCATATAAAAAATAGCATGTTGGCTATGACCATACTTAATCGAATGGCATATCTGCATAAGTAGCAAATCTGAATTTGAGTATGAATTATGGAGCAAAAATTGTATTTTTTTTCTGGGGTTTATCACCATAAAATCCAGCCCTCCTTGAGTTTAAAATGTATTTACTTTGTTACACAATAAATCAGTTTGAAATCAGACAGTATTACAAATAAATTTCAGAAAAGAGTTGGTACGTAAATCACTTAACTACTTTTAAAATACAATGCTAATAAAAATGCTATAAATTTTATACCACGGGCAAAATTCTTGATATTTATGCAAATGGTGAAATATAATCGTTGCTAAATATTTATCTTATCAAAAAAATGAATAATATAAAGCTACGGTTGCTTTTGTGGTGTGTGCAGTCAAAGCAAGTTAACATAATTCATTGAATTTAAATGTGTTGTAACTGTGAACTTATTTATAGAATTCTCATAGAAGATCAGGCTACTAATGATCGACTAACCTAGACATTATCAAGATAAAAACAACTAGTACCAGAGCAGTTGTTCATTCAGAATACTAACCGGAAAAGCCCGAATCCTCATTTTTGAGTCTTTTTTCGTTTGAAGTCGTGAATTCATGATGGCTGTCTTCTTATTTTACAAATCTGATGATTACTAGTCTCTTGGATGATAAAATTTTCAACTGACTGGTCTAACAGTAGACATTCTAATATATTAAAAAAATTTTATTAGCATTTTTTTTTTCAATTTTATCATATCCCCATACATTGTGTGGACTCCCAACTGACAAATAAGTCAGTGAAAAATGTTACCTCCATATTCGGCTCTCATAGCCAATTGATTGTCAACTTCACTTAACTAATATCATGCTAACACCTTAATACTGTAATATTCACACCATAGATCAGCCATATGATATATCAGCGCCAATATGTTACCACAAATCAATTTCCTTGTTATGTTAATGAATATATTAACTACATTCAATTGAAAAGTTTTAGCATTGCGTTTTCGATTTTGTTTCTTAAAAAAGATCAACAGATTCCAATGCTTTGTTTCAAAAAGCAGAATTGAAGCATTTTTGACACACTTCATAAGGCTGTAATGATGTTAACAGATATCAAAATGCAGAAATGTTCACTTCAAAAATTATATTGACCATAAAACCATTGGCAGATTGATGAAAAAATTGAACTCAAACAACTCTTCCTTATTCATAGGAAGACAAAACCGTGGGGGGAATAAATAAAATATCACAGGATTGAGCTCAATATCTCTTTATTTTTCTAATACTACGATACCAAGTTACAGAGTTATCTGAAACTTGAGCTTTTTATAAAAATGTTCCTTCGTTGGCAAATTTTCAGAGTATTTGTGGTTTTTATATTTTATTTTATGCTGTAAATTTCGATCTTTGCTGTTTTTGATCTATTTTCGCTGAGATTTCATAGAACAGTAGAAGGGAATATGGCGAGTGTTTGATTGTGTGATCAAACACAAGTCACTCATCTGGTATTGGACATATCGTACCGGTAATTGTTGCAAAGAACATTGCGGTTTTATGTTGAGACTTCATAAAACAGTATAAAAGTATATCTGTATATGGTAATTGATTGATTGTGTGAACAAAATCTATTCAATTTTCCCAGTTGCAATTATTAATTAAGTTATTCTGTTATTGAACATTAGGATAGGATTTACATATTTATCCCGGGGGCATTATGGCTGCACACTGCCTAAATTCAGAAATTATGAACGACTAGTGCAGTGGCGTATTCAGACTTTTACACTTATTTCTGCATTTTATAGCCTAGTAGAGTCCATGGACAGACTGAAATACCGTCAGACCGTACCGGTACTCTTGTGATAGTGCAGTACCGGTACCAAAACCAGGCTACTGTACCGGTACCGTTATGGTAACAAACACTAAAAGGGCTCAAGTCAGCCATAATGTAAATGTAGCTAACAGTCCGGTCTGCCGGTGATGATACTGGTAGTCACCATCTGGATAAGAAATCCTATTCTTGATCTAGCTAGACATAGACTAATGACTTACAGACGTACCGGTACGGTACTGTGGTACCGTATCTTTGTAACAGACCGATTAGGATATTCTGACATTATTACTGTATTAGGATAAGATAGGATTTACATATTTATCCCGGGGGAGAGAAAAGCCGATAAGACGGCTTATCCATATGGCGAACCACGGCCTCTCGTCCGGTTACCATTCCAAGTCGGGCATGGGATTAGTTATATTGTTTGTTTTTCGGAAGCACGGACTTGGATTAACATTTTCAGATTTTGCTCCTGGTAGGTACCGGTACGGTACCGGCAGTTAAAAAATTAAAGTTCGTCCTCTAAACGGTAGGTGCGGTACGTGGGTACGGTAACGGATTGTTGCCTACAGGTTTAGGCTTGAGCAGTTCTGCAGTTACGGTACCGGTATGACACCGAACGGCGCAAATAATAGAATACGGAACAGTGGAACCAAACTTCGAGTGGAACGAAGGAGCGTCAGCTGATATCATGAAATGAACTGAGATAGAGATGTACCGTTCATCCATTGGATGGCTCCCAAGATCAATAAACATGTCAAAAATTACGGTACAGTACATTTTTGCTGTGTCTAAAAAGAAATGTCTCATGATTGAGGATCCCGCTGTTGCATCTCCTGGCAATTCCCACAATCCTTGGTCGGTATCATGTGAGTTTGAGCTTTGCACGAGCAGTCCTTTAATCTGAGGGGAGGCCAATGAACTATTTGAATAAATAATATTATATGAGTAATATTTGTAGCTATCTGACCAACCCCGTGCAACTCCGGAAATTTGGTCCCGGTGCTGAATTCGCCGTCAAGCTCGACTTGGTTCTCTAACAGATTATTGCCTTGAAAATCATCGTGTGACGTTCTGCGTTTTTCTGTGTTCTGGAATATTACATGGAATGGAATGTTACACGATATACTTTACTATAGAACTGATTGAATGCAGATTGCAAAACAAAATAGAAGAACAATCAATTGAATGGGAAGAAACTAGTATTTTGGATTTCTGCCCATTGACAAATCACCCTTGCCTACTATGTCTCTTTAACTAATATCCCGAAATGAAACGAATAGATTTCTCCCAAAGTGATTTAATCCAGATATCAGTAAGACAAAGTGATCTGACAAACAATAAAGATGAATATTAAAATGAGTACAGACAATCAGGCACAATACAAAGCAAGAATATACCAATTCACTTACATTTAAATGAGGCTTTGTCAGAACAGATTATCCCAATGTAAGAAACTTAAGAAATAGATTATTCATATCCAATGACTATAGCACCATTAACAAGCTTATGAGAACAGATCTAAAGACAGACTAAAGCTCTAGACAGTTAACCATAACAAGAAGTAATCAAGTAATCAGCTAATAATCGCGATGCAGTGAACCATACGTAAACACACCAAAAGTAAGTAGTACCAAGATAAATCAGTCAAATGTTCAAACCACCCCCCCAGTCTATGAATGCAATGAAAAAGACGAAAATATTGAACATTGTTGACTCGGAGTAACTGATATGAGATTAGATGCCTTTCAACTCACATTGTAGCTCTTCTTTGGTCGCAATTAGACAAAGTTTATGTATTGGTCGATTGTATAAATTCCCATCGCTGTCTTTGATTGTAACACTTCTCACTAAGCCATCTGAACTGGGCATAATGTTGTGAACCAGTGCTTTTTTCCATAAACCTCTGGGTGCACTTCCGCCTTTAAATCCAGGTTGAAGAATTGATACGTAATCTCCAACTTGAAGATTGCGTCTTGTTCGAAACCATTTGTTAGCAAGTAATAGCTGAGGCGGTATGTGTTTCATCCATGTTTTCCAGAACACCTCAACTCTGTTTTCCGCCACTTTTAGCATGTCTCGTGGATTGAATCTCTCTTCTTGTGTAGTTTGAGGGACTATCTGCTTTGCATATGGATGTAAAAGAGTATTGCCAGTAATACAATTATATTCCAAAGGGTTTCCATCTGGGAAAAGTGGTCGACTATTGATGATATAAGTAATTTCGTTGAGAACAGTTGTCCATTCTTCGTAGGTCATAAGAGCCCTGCTGTAATTCACCACTGGTGCATCGAGTGCTTTGCGAACCGAGTTGATAAGCGATTCTACTACTCCATTCATATGTGACGCGTAAGGCACATTATATTTCCAATCAAATTTCGTTTGATTCTCTGCCATCTCATGTTGAATCAACTGAAAATTCCATTTCTCGATCTATTCCTTGATAGGCGCTTGACTAGCTTGAAATGTAGTACCTCCGTCGGAAAATACAAATGCAGGATGAATTCCCCTTATATATAGATACAAATCGTCTCCATGCCCGAAGGAACGAATTAGTATCCAGAGCCAGACACAGTTCCAGATGAATACAACAAGTGGTTGCACATGTAATAATTAAAACAGACGCGTTGATAACTACATTTCGAGATTGCTTTACTTTCAAGTATCCGAAAAAATCCATTGCTACAGAATTGAATGGTGCCATCTGTGGTTGCATTCGAAATGAAGGAAGTTCTCCCATGCTTTGCTGTAGCAACTTTCTACGACGAATTCTGCAAAATATACACATTGATGCTATTGATTTTAAAAGTATTCTTCCACCAATAAGAACAATACCGTCATTCTTCATATTTGCCAATATAACTCGATACCCTTGATGTAAGAACTTTTTATGATAGAACACTCCAAGAAGACGAACGAGGGAATGTTTGCCCGGAAGTACGACTGGATGCTTCATTTCCATATATAAATCAGTTCTATTCAGTCTTCCACCAATACGAAGAATTCCGTGAGAATCGAATAACAAGTTTAATTTCCATAGAGTTTTGACATCCTTCCCAAATTCATCAATCATAGATTTTTGACAAATTCTGAATATACATAATTTTGCTTTCTCTATGTATTGTACGACATCGGCAGGTTTAAATTCCAAATTGACAAATGATTTTTGCTGAAATGCACCCTTCATCCAAGCTGTCGCTCTTAGCAAGTCTTGCCTTGAAGAAAAATTATCCGCTAAATCATTATCATTTTGATAAGGCAAATCTGCTTTAACGACGTTGAATTGTCTTTTTCCGCGATATGCTTTTGACTTAGTTGGTGGTTTTTCTTCCAATATTTCTTGACGTAATTCATCTAATTTTAAGTCATCATCATTCGGCCAATATTCCATTGGTTGCCTTAGAAATTCAGGTCCTTCATGCCAAATTGTAAGCTTCTCGCAGGAAATAGGTTTTGTTAAACAATCTGCAGCATTAAGAAGACTTGGAATGCATTTGACTTCTTTTGTTAAATTCTTATGTGTATCTTGAAATTCTTGTACTCTTGAAGCAACGAATGGTTTGAATTTTCCAGATTGGGAGTTCAACCAATAAATAACAACTTTGCTGTCTATCCAGAAATATTCGGATGCAATATTGTACGGTAGTGCTCTACTTATTTCATGCACCAATCTGCTCATGCCTATTGCTCCCATTAGCTCCTTTCTTGGAGTACTTTTGTGTTTGAGTGGCGCCACAAATCCCTTTGCTGCAACGAATGTTAGCTTAACTCCACCTGTTGTAGGCCACCGTAAGAACACACAAGTGCCATAGGCTAAATCTCCACCGTCTGAAAATGCGTGCAGTTGAGGAGGTCCAGTTGTGTTTTCAGGTTTCAGACATCTTGGAGTTGAAACTTGAGCTAACTTGGACATTTCTTGAACATTGTTATACCAGCATTTGACCACATCATCTGGCAAAGTTTGGTCCCAGCTAAATCCATCTGCCCAGATCTTTTGAAGATCTATTCTATACTGCATTGTGACTGGGAGTAAATAACCCAGAGGGTCCCACAATTTCATTACACATGCTAATGCTTTTCTTTTAGAAAATCCTGTTTGCATGAAAGAAATGTCTTTGAATTTTGAACTGAAACTGTCATCAGTTTTATTCCAGGAATGACCAAGTACATCAACAACTTTTTCACCAGGATTTTGATCTACTTCAGAATGGTTTGAGTTCCAAATCTTTATAGAGAATTTTCCACGAATAAGTATTTGATCAACATCATTGATAACCTTGTTTGCAAGAATGTGATTCGAAACAGAATGACTGACATCATCAATGTATGTATCTTTGTCCAATACAACAGCTCCAAGAGGATGATCTTTTCGAAATTTATCGGCTAAAAATTTAATTGTAAAGCATGCCAAGTCAGGACTAGATTTATCTCCGAACATAACCCGAAGCCATTGAAAGATTGTTGGTTGCAACGATGAATCACCATAGCGCCAAAGGAAACGATGAAATTTCTGATCGACTTCTGCCATTTGAATTTGATTGAACATTTTCGATATATCACCAGCAATAGCCACACTATCAGCTCGCCATGCCATGAAACATCTGAACAAAGAATTCGCAAAGCTGGGGCCTTTCTCTAAACCATCATTGAGACATGTGCCCTTAAAAGGACACGCAGAATCAAATACTATTCTTAATTTTGTTGAGGTTTTATTCGGACGTTCTACGATACGATGATTGAGGTACCACGCATTTTCAACTTTAGCCGTTTTCGTTTCAACCGGTGTTAGTCGTCGTACTACGCCTCGTTGAAGCAGACAATTCTTGTTCCCGTTTTTTCATTTGTTCATACGCCTTCTCAAAATTATTGTGCAATTTTTCTGGGAAACCAGGTTTCCATGGCATTTTGACACAAACTCGGCCATCAGCACTAATATTGGTTGTCGCTTTTACATGTTTGATAAATGCTGATTCTGCAATTTCTGAGTTAGAACAAACACACAAAGTTGTGGGTTGCACTCCAAGAACCTCACCATGGAAAAACTTGCGCAACTCTTCATTTTTTAATGATGAAAAACTATTAATATTTGCTACATGATTGAAAGATCGTTGCGGTGCTTGAATAATGCCTCCATATAGATAGCATCCAAGAGATGTGAAAGCTGCTGAAGGATGATTATCGGGATCAATTGGCGAACGTAATGAATGCATTGTTTGAATTAAAGGTGCATAATCTCTACCAACAAGAACATCGACTGTTTTTTGCCCAACTGGTATTTTATCCTGAATTCTTCTTAGATATTCAAACTGTTTAAAAATAGATGGCGGAATTGGTGTAACATCGTGACAAGGTTTTCTCACAGCCGTAACTCTGATATCAAATATCTGGTCTCGTGAAAGAGGTCTAATTTTTAAATTATAATCTTCAGAAGGTTCTTCATGAATGGCTCCTCCTGCGACACCAAACCGATTGTTCCATGACCTATTGCCTTTTGTTTCAATGATTTTACAAAATTAGGTCTTACCAAAGAATGGTTACTGCCACCGTCAAGAAACAAATTTGCCTTGATCCATGTTTTGTCACTCGCCTGCACTTCTGCAACAAGTAATGGAGAATAATCCAAATTAAAAGCGCTCAATTGTCTTGAATGCATCTGAGATTGGTTGAATACTGCTGCATTAGAGTGAATATGTTGACTTTCCAAATTCGAGTCGTTCATACCAGAATTTCTCATTGTATTGTAATTTCCCTGTACTTTTCCGGGACATAATGACCAATGATGCTGTCTTTGGTTACAATTTACACAGCTATCGGCTGTTGTTCTTGCACAATTCTTGCAAAGTGAGTTCCTAGACATATAAAACATCTTCGATCATCTGCTATAAAGTTTTTTCTTTCAGGAATTGATAGGTTTTGATATTTGTTGCAGTCTATAAGGCGGTGCTGAATTCCACATCCAAAAATACAAGTGACTGTCCTTTGACGTGGCTGAACTGAACCCATGTTATCATTCTCGTCTGTAGCATGATTAACCGTATTGAAATTAGATCTTGGCGACTGGTTTTGTCTCGGTCGAAACCTCATATTCTCGGTTTGACTGATAAAGTTACCAGATATTTCCAACGCTGTAGCTTCAGATCTCAGAAAATTCGTTATAAATTCCAAGTTATGATTACCTTCGCTGGAACTATTATATCGCAGTGCAGTGTCTGCATCTAGACACTCTAATGCTCTATTGACAGAAATAACCGAGTTTGCATCCTGTTTTAACCCAAGATCTTCCATACGTCGGCAGAAGAGAGAAATTTCGTGAGCTAGTCGCCTAAGGTTCGCTGGATTACGAGAGGTCTTATATTAAGGTTTTATTTGCTCGTATTGCTTGATTACTTCACGTTGAACTACTGATTTAGGAATACGCTCTTCCAGGCGTTCCCATACACTTGAAATTGATTTACAGTCACATATCATTGTTTGATAATCGTTTGGCATTGCACCATTGCGTAAAAGCCATGAAATTTGCACTAAATCATCCGTAATTCTAGCATGGTGCATTATATGTGTAAAACGTTCTTTCCAGGTATAAGAGTCTACTTTTTGTCCGTTCCAGCATGGCGGATCCATACCACATAACTTAATCATAGGAGGATCATTATTATAATTGTTTTGAGTGGTTACAAGAGATGATATCACCGGCTTTATATCTAGTTTGTCTTCATATTTCTCAAAATCGATTGCAATCTTGTTTTCCACACGTAAAATTTCTTCACTAAATTTGGATATAACGGGTTTTTCCTCACTTTGTGTAGTACTGTCTTCTTCAATTAGAGCCAATTCCATAGTATCAATTAGACAGACCAAAAATGCTATTTTATCGTTAGCATCATGAAACAGTATTTTGACCTTTTCAAAATCTCTTCTTTCCAGAGAGTGCTCAAATCGTGTTAAAATTCTTTCCAAATTTACTTTGAGTACCGGAAACTTTACTCTTGAGTTGTTTGAAATTTTGACCTTGAAAATATTCTGCCATTGTTAGTTGGCATTCTTGCTTTGATGTATTGCTGAATCCTCGAAAGGTTGAAGAAGAACTGCTCGATTCAGACTCCAGTTTGTAGGTGCAGTATCATTAAATGTCACTATTTTGGATTTCTGCCCATTGACAAATCACCCTTGCCTACTATGTCTCTTTAACTAATATCCCGAAATGAAACGAATAGATTTCTCCCAAAGTGATTTAATCCAGTTATCAGTAAGACAAAGTGACCTGACAAACAATAAAGATGAATATTAAAATGAGTACAGACAATCAGGCACAATACAAAGCAAGAATATACCAATTCACTTACATTTAAATGAGGCTTTGTCAGAACAGATTATCCCAATGTAAGAAACTTAAGAAATAGATTATTCATATCCAATGACTATAGCACCAGGTAAGGTAAGGTAAGGTAAAGGGTTTAATGGCGTCTTTGACAACTCGGTCTTTTACGCCAATTTTCAAAAGGAGTAGTCAGAATGATACAATAAAAACATGTTTACAACTCTCGTTTGGTGGATATAGCAAATTTAATAATTATTGGAATCAAATTAGGAACATTGAAAATACAAATAATTTCCCAGGGTACATTCATTTTTGCTGCTTCACGTCTTAATTCGCATCGTAAATTATTATACTTGGGACAATATAAAATAAAATGGGAAACAGTTTCATTTGTGTCACATCGACTACATTGCCCTGTGGGATGTAACCCTATTTTGAATAAATGATAGTTAAGTCTGATGTGTCACTAACAAGCTTATGAGAACAGATCTAAAGACAGACTAAAGCTCTAGACAGTTAACCATAACAAGAAGTAATCAAGTAATCAGCCAATAATCGCGATGCAGTGAACCATACGTAAACACACCAAAAGTAAGTAGTACCAAGATAAATCAGTCAAATGTTCAAACCAACTAGGACCGGTCCAGCACTCGAAAGCACATTGACAGTGAGATTTTAAATTCACTTTAAAAAAAGCTCCCACGAGAAGATGTAGTAGAGAGCCGCTTTCTGCTACGATTGTTCAGCATAAAAAAGAGTAAGTTGTAAATGTTCTTCTAGGTACCCAATACAGTAATGATTTGTCAAGGAATGTAAATTTTGATAAGAGATATGTATATTTGCAGGAAGGAAAGAATCATAAAAAAAGTGCAGTGTGAGGATTTATGCTGTGTGATCAAAGCAGTAAGCAAGAATATAAATTGACTGATGGGTGATGCTTTTTCTCAAATATCAGAATTAGCTTACACCATATCAATGAAAATTTTTGGTGGAGTAACTAAAACTGTTAGCAAAAAAACAAATGTGGTGAGCGATACCACCCTGAAGTTGTGACGTCAGTATGAAAAACATAAATTAAAAACACATATTTTGACTTCAATTAATTAGTGTTTTATGATGGAGTTCTACCGTAAATATATACTACTAGGTTCTACTGATCTTAATAATTTTTCCCAGACTCACTCTGTCATTGTATACGAAGTCACCAGCTGCATATTACAACATAAGAGGTTTTTTACGTTTGCCATGATAATCCAGTTTGCTTGATTTCAGGCTGGCACTAACAACTTTTTTTACATAAATCAAATACCTATTATTGCTATTATCTAAACATGGCTTCAACATATATATATTTATAATTTTAGATGTGTCAAAAAATTTTGAATTATTTTGTCGAGTGTTTTTAAATTATTGATTTGTGATCAATAGCAATAACTTTTTTGCTACTGCAAAATCCGCCACATTTATTAAAAGCATTAATATTTCTCCTGGAACCGTCCAATTTGTTTTGTGAGGTATTCACATTTTGTTTCAAATAATACTTTGTCTAAGTGACTGTTATACTTATATATGTAAACACATACATGCCTATAGAGGACTTGCACGGTTCACGTGACCTTGTTGCTGGACGGCAATAAAACAAAAACGTCCATTTGGCTCCTGTCAGTTGCAAGTCGGATTATACGTTTCCGTTTTGTTTGGCTGTTGAAAATGGTTATTTCGTATTGTTCCGCTGGCTGTACGTATAGTATAGACAACGAATTGGATCTTCAGCTATATTCCACTGTTTTCAAAAGATCCGGAACGTCGCGCAATGTGGATATCATCTATTGACAGGACTGCTTGGTGTCAAGTCCAGAAGCCATCTTACTCGTGTTTCACTGTTTGCGGACAGCACTTCGTTGATGGCGAGTCATGATGTGCCGTTATCAATTTTTTTAAATATTCATAAGCTCCCTCATTTCAATGGAAAGCAGATGACAAACTACTGTTATTGGTAGGCTTAGGCCTACTTGCAGACTTGACTCGTGTCAGGTATTAATCAATAATTGCCATAAGGTATTGTTTCCCTAGTTAGCAGGTAATCTATTAGTAAGTGTGAAAATTTGAATATATAACTAAAGTTTAATGCCAGTGCTAATGCAAAAAATAACCAGAATTCAATAGAATTCTCTATCTGAGAATACGCTCGCCACCGCATCTCTGATCCCCCTGGGAGTTTCACAGGTTCCAATCCCATGCGGGGATAGTTATGTGCGAGGGGACGAGGAGATTGC